GAAAATTCCACCTCCTTTTTAATGTTAAATACATGTGACGAATGAAAGGTTGGATGCCACAGACGGTTTTTGCAGAGTAGGTGGAATTTTCACATTATAAACTCACACAATATACTACTTTATTCTCAACATTTTTCTATGGTAATCTCGTATTGCTATGACTTTATTATAGTAATTTTGACTTTAATCTCACAATACTATGACTTTAATCTCATAATTCTGATTTTTCAAAATATAACGATTTTAATCTCATATTGCTATGACTTTATTCTAGTCATTTTGACATTATTCTCAAAATATTTTGACTTCAATTTCGTAATCTTGGATTTATTTTTTATTTTACCATTGCACTAAATCGATGTCATGATAAAACTGTGAAAAGACTAATGTAAAATTTTTTTGGGGCTTAAATTTATGAATGTATATTGCATTTATTTTCGGCAGGAATATGAGATGAATTGTGTTAAGTACAAAGCTACTCTTGATGACATACCTGCGACAGATGCTAAAAGAAATCACACCTCCACCCTAGCAAGCTCTGTTGCAAAACAGGTGAGATATCCGAAATGTAAAACATGACATAAAATTCCTAATGTCAATTAAATACTTAATTCTTTACTTTGTTGTACTACAGGAGAAGGATCTTACAAACCATTATGCTGAGACAGCTGCTGAGAGTGAACAATTACTCAACCAGATGAACTTAGCAAAGTCCATTATGGCTGAGGTGCAAATGTGATCAACATTTTTTGTAGCTTACCACTGATCAGAAGGGATAATTTGTATCATGATATGTTCAAATGCACTTTATCTTTGTTATGAAAAGTATAAAATAAGTATAAGTGTTAAAACTAATCATCTTTGAAATATTAACTAGTCTTTCCTCCATTTACACAGAATGTGGTAAAAGTAAATGCTGTACAACAACAACAGATGCAGCAAAAAGCAGCTGAGGACACAGAAGTTCTCCAGAAAGAATTAAAGGAGGAAATTGCAAAATGTACCAACGCAGAGAATAGCCTGAGCACCATAAAGAACAGATATTTATCTCTGAAGAATCGAAGAGGAGTAGAGCGAGTGGAGGAGAAGGAGATTCTGCAGTATTACCGTGACCCAAAACTTGAGGTCAATGTGGAGGACTTTCAAAAGAAAATTCATGAAGAAGCACTGAAATGCACCAAAACACAGAGTGAGATTGAGGTACTGACCAGAAAGATCACTAGCCTAGAAAGTGAACTTAAGAACACCAAGCCCAAGTTAGTAACAAGAGAAGTGACAGAGGTAGAGAAAGACCCTCAGTTGGATTTAGAAGCATCAAACATTCGAGAAAACATAAGCAGATTGAGAAGTGAACTTAAAGTTAAAGATCAAGAGAAGGCTTACCTGCAAACAGAGATGACAATTTTGGAGCAAAAGAAGCAAAACATAAAAGAGAAGGTGGTGCAAATGGAAGTAGTAAGACTGGAAAAAGATCCAGAAATGTTGAAGGCAGTTAGGACATTTGAGATGGCTATCTCAGATGAAGGTGAGAGGGCCAAATCACTGAAAAGTGAAATCTCCCAAACCAGGAGCCAGATCAATTCTCTTGAGAGGCTCATCCCAACTTTAGAGCCAAAAGTTGTCACCAAGGAGGTGAAAAGGGTTGAGCAGGACCCTAGACTCATAAGTGAGTCTAAAGATCTTCTGACTACAATAGAAAAAGTGAGAAATGAGAATAAAAGTCTCATGACTGATCTTAGCAACCTTCAGTCACACCATGTCCAAATACAACAGATGAAGCCCAAAGTGGAAGTCAAAGAAATCATAAATGAGAACTTCAGGGTGGCCCCTGAGACAGAGGCAGAGATGCAACGCTTGAGAAGGGAGCTTCAAGACAATAGCAGACAGTTATCAGACTTTGAGAGACAAGTTAGCCTTGTCAGAACAGAGCTTGAAGTGCTATATGCACAGAAACCCAAAATTGAGTATAAGGATGTAGTTCAGGAGGTTGTAAAAGAGGAAAGAAGTCCAGAGAATGTAAGAGAAATACAGAGGCTCTCTGATCAAGTATATTCCCTGCAGAAAACCTACAGTACTTTGCAGGATGAGCTTATCCGTCTTAGAAAAGACAGGGATGAATGGAAGGCTGAAAAGTCAAAGGTGGAGACCAAGATTGTCACTAAAGATGTAACTAAGTATGTTGATGACCCACTTCTGGAGAAGGAGGCAGATCGTCTCAGGAGAGAAGTCCGTGAGGAAACTCAGAGGCGCAGAACTATAGAAGAAATGGTGTTTGATCTTCAGAATAAATACATTCAGCTTGAGAGACAAAAACCAGAGGAAAAAGTACTAGTGCAAGAGGTGGTGCGTCTACAAAAGGACCCAAGGCAGATCCTTGATCATGATAGGCTAGGTAGGAGTCTAGATGAAGAAGTGAAGAATCGGAGAAAATTTGAGCTAGAGGTGCAGCAGATGAGAGCACTCATTGAGGACAAGGAGATAGCCATCAGGAGAAGTGATGAAAGGCAAAGAAAGATCCAGGTGGAAACTGAGCTGAGACAAATTAAATCCAGAATCCATGAGCTAGAAACTGCCCCACCTCCTATTGAAGAGAACATAGTCATAGAGGAAGTTCTGAAAGTTGAGAGGGATCCAAAACTAGATAAACTGACCAATGGTCTTCGAACAGATATGGATAAGGAGAGCAGTGACATTATGCGTTTAGAGAGAGACATCAGGAAATTGACACTGGAGATAGAAATCTTGCAGCGAGAGAAGTCGGTTGAGAAGACCATCTATAAAGATGTTGTTCGTGTAGAGAAAGATCAGACTGTGGAAGCAGAACGGTCTCACCTTAGAGAACAATTAATTCAGAAGAAAAATGCCAGACGAGATCTTGAGGATGAAATCCACCGTCTAGATGAGAAACTGCAGCGACAAGCAAGCAAAAGAACTACCACATCTCTGGAGGAGACCAACTTAATTCATGATCAGGACAAGCTGCAAAGAGAAAAAGAAAACCGTCAGAGAGAGCTGAGGACTTTGGAATCTGAAAGACAAAACATCAGCATTTCATTCCACCAGCAGTCTAAGCTGATGAGTGAAAGAAATCAAATGAACAGGCAAAGAAGCATTAAAATGGAGTCAGATGTTCAAAGGCTGGAAAGGGAGATCCTGGATGAAAAGGACACAATTCATAAGCGAGACAACATAATCAGGGAGCTAAAGAACAGTTTGAGGAAGGAGGATTCCTCAGAAACTCGCACTAAAGAAGTCAATGTGTCCACAAAGATCAGCATCTTGGACCCTAACACTGGTAAAGACATGTTACCATATGATGCCTACATGCAAGGCTTCATTGATCGCAGCCAGTACATACAATTACAGGAACTAGAGTGTGACTGGGAGGAAATCACCACAATGGGACCTGATGGTGAGATATCGGTTTTGCAAGATCGGAAGAGTGGCAAACAGTACTCCATCAAAAATGCACTAAAAGAAGACAGGGTGACTAAATACCAACTACAACAGTACAAGGATGGCAAAATGCCGATCTCAGAGTTTGCTCTTCTTGTGGCTGGTGAAACAAAATCTCGACCATACACCCCAGTTACCAGCCAGACAACTCAACAGCTTAATGAAGAGTTCCCCATCTGTGGTGTGTATGATGTACACACTAATTCATGTCTAAATGTCCGCAGTGCCATGGATAGAAAGATGATTGACACCAACACTGCCCAAAAACTGCTTGAAGCACAGGCAGCCACTGGTGGCATTGTGGATATCAGCAACCGCATAAGATATTCTGTCCACAAAGCAGCTGATCGAAGTCTGATTGAGTCCAGTCAACTACAACGTTTATTAAATGCTCAAAAGGCTTTCACTGGAGTTGAGGACCCTATGACCAAAGAACGTCTGTCAGTCGGAGAGGCTGTACAGAAAGGGTGGATGCCCAAAGAGAATGCCATGAGATACATGGAGGCACAATTTCTGACAGGTGGGATGGTCAACCCCAACAAAGCAGGAAGAGTTAACATTGTGGATGCTGTCAGCTCTAAGATGATTGACAGCACAATGATGAGAGAGCTTCAGGAAGAGATCAACTATGCAAAGGAGCTGACTGACCCCATCACAAAGGAGAAGATCAACTACAAACAGGCTTTGGCTCGTTGTAAGACAGACCCACTATCAGGTCTTCCAATGCTTCCTGCTTCCTCAAAAGATTCTGCCTATTCTTCCTCATATTTTAGTCATAAATAGCCACTCATAGTCTCGTTGGTTTACAAAATATGTAATTCATTCAAGTTTCTGTACTGTTGACTTAATCATTTCTCCTAGGTTATAATAATACTGTAGTATCTATCACACAAAAAAACTGTTAACTCCTGCACCAGTTTATAATTGCAAGGGTTAGTGGTTGCGTTGATTCAATGTATTGTTAAGATAAAAAAATAAATGGAATCCGCACATCAGAAAAAGTCCAATGAAAATGTTTTTTTTTTTTAATATACTGATTTTAAGATAATCAATGTATAATGTATAATAATAAATATTTTTAGAAAATAAAAAGCTTTTTAAACTTAAGATGAAAATAGTAAGATTTAATCTGATATATACTGTACTTGAAATATAACAAATCTCAGGTGCTATAAAATCTGCCAATTTAACCACATTACTGAAATGGGTTAGATTGAACTCAACCGCTGAGATGCTTATGTTTACTTCATTTTATACAGTATGTAAAGAGGCAGAATACTGTAACACATGGAATGCAAGAAATATTTATCCGAAACCAAATATGGAGAATAAATAAGCCTTTTTTTATTTCCTTGGTATGATGGGCCAGAAGTGCAATTTCTGATTTAAAGTCATTATACTTTTGTCTTTATCATTCTCTGTCCTTTCTGAAGCTGCTGTCAAGAATCATTGAAAATAATAAAAAATGCAATAAATGACTTTTGTTCTTTTTTTTTTTAAAAATTACATTTACTTTTACTAAATGAAGTTAACATACTGCAAGAGTGGTATCAATTATTTGCAGGCATATGCAAGGCATTTTAGTAAGCAGAACACATACAGCAATTTATCTTTGTAATAGCGCATATATAATTTTATGAATATTTTTAAATAAAAAAACCTGAACAGGTATAGTGTTTATACCTCTTGTACTTAACAGTGTGCAGTGTGCATAAAGTTTGGAACAAATACCATACAACAACACAATATATAACTGAAGAGCTATTCACCTCTGCTACAAACTGCATATTTTACTTGTTTATTTTCAAACATTTAAAAGGAGATTAATTTTCACAGTTGGCTAATGATAATCATTAGCTAAATGTAAAAAAAAATCTAATTTAATGATTCACATCTACTTTCTGTAAATAAACATTACAATCCTATGCTTTTGAGAAGCTGACAAAGTCATATACTCTCAAATTGTACAAAAACACAACAATGAAAAATATTTCTGAAATAATCACATTTCACAGGTTTTTTACGTATGAGGGCTCACAGTGGGGAGCTTGCTCATTAATCTCAGGAATTCTCTTCTTAAAGAAACATCTCTGTTCCCTAATGGCCTTTTGCATTAGTGTGAGGTCTACGCCATCAACATTACTCAAAGCACGAGCATGTAGAATAACTCCAGTTAATCCTGGAAGAAGCAACAGAAAATTCTGGTTAAAAACAAAACATAAAAAACAACAGATAAAAATACACATTCTGAATACAAACACAACCAAAATGCTTCTAGATTTAGACTTATAGCAGGCTGCAAATACGGTTTATTTATATTACAGTACATCATACTCAAACTCACCATCAGTCTTTTCAATTTCACCAAGAACAAAATACTGAGCTCCAAGTATGGGCTGGAATGGTTCAACAAGTGTTGTTTGTACATACACATGGCACTGTGCTGAAGATTGCTGACCACTTAGAACGGCTTTGGACCCTTCTGGCTTGTAACTTATAAGTCTAGATGGAAAGATAAACACAAGCTAAAAGGTAAAAGAAATACATAAATGATGATTAAAAAGTAAAATAATTTAGACCATCAATCAATATTTACCAGGAAATTATAAAAAGAAAGGCTCAGAAACAATGAAGAGTTGAATCCAAATGCACTGGTTTAATAATATAATAACAAAGGAACAAAAGAACATGAAACCAAGAAACAAGGAAACAGAACCAAGCTCACCTACATTACAACAACAAACAGAAAGGACTTGCCAATGAACACTGGAAACAAAGGAACGAGAGAAATATCAGGAATAACGAGGGGAAACAGGAAACCAGGTAAACTAATTTTTTCTACTACTATAGGAAAAGTGAAAGTCTAAAACAGAACTTGTTGCAGCTACCTTAATTTGACTGCACACAATTATAAGTGGGAATATAACCAGAATCATTTGATTTCAGCATCCTCTAATGCACTGTCTCTCAATATTAAGAGTTAGAAAATTACTAAAAAACAAAAGTGTATAATACCAAAGGTTAGGTAAGAATCTGACATGCTCTATATAAATGCACGAAAAGCTTGTCAGGACTAACTGGATGTAGTTTCCATTTAATGAGAGAGAATGTAAGTATATTTAATCTGATCTACTGATACCCACATGATAGCTAAAATAACTGTAACTTTAATGAGGGACTTTATTATGTTCCACTGTAATTTTAGAAGATGGTAGGTAGTTCTTATCATGCTGATGTATTTTCAAGTGTTCATTTGTCGAATGAGTTTGCTTTTAGTTAGTTATTTGATGCTATAAAAATGGGGTGTGGTGTCATGATTATGTGTTTGCGATTGGGTCTGTGGGAGTTAGGGTGGGATTTTGATAGCAAGGCTCTAGTCACTAGACTCAGGCTCCAAATGAATCACTACTGCACAGACTCGGGCTCTAAATGACATCATTGGCACAAGATGACAGCTGCCATACTGAGATGCTTTTGCTTCACTTTTCTATAGCGGAAGGAAGTGGAGACGTGTCGTCCATTTTTTTTTTTTTACAGTCTATGCTCCAGACCAAACAAATCCAGCCTCTGTCCCTAGCTCTATCTGTCAGTGGATCATCAACCTTCTGACAGACAGGCAGCTAGTGAGACTGAGAAAACACATCCAACACCTGCACAATCAGCACTGGTGCCCCACAGTGATGTATTCTCTCCCCACTGCTCTACTCCCTAACGACTGCATTGCAAAAGATCCTTCTGTCAAGCTTCTGATGTTTGCAGATGACACTACAATCATCAGCCTCATCCTGGATTGTGACAAGTCTGCATATAGAAGGAAGGCTGAACAGCTGGCTGTCTGTTGCAGTCATAACAGCCTGGAGCTGAACACGCTCAAAACTTTGAGGATGATTGTGGACTTTAGAAGAAACCTCCACTCACCATCATGAACAGCACTGTGGTAGCAGTGGAGTCATTCAGGATCCTGGGCACCACCATCTCACAGGACCTAAAGTTGGAGTTCCACATTGACTATATTTTAAAAAAGGCCCAGCAGAGGCTGTATTTCTTTCACCGACTAAGGAAGTTCAACCTGCAGGTGCTGCTTCTGCAGTTCTACTCTGCAGTCACAGAGTATGTCATCTGCAATTCTATAACTGTCTGTTTTGGCTTGGCTACCAAATCAGACCTCAAAAGACTACAGTTGATAGTCCGGACTGCTGAGTAAATCATTGGTACAGCTCTTCCCACTCTCCAAGAACAGTACATATCCAGAGTGAGGAAAGTGGCTTCCTCTGTGAACTGTTGCCATCTGGTCGGCACTGCAGAGCATTGAGCGCCAGAACAGCCAGGCATAAGACAAGTTTCTTTCCTCAGGCTATCTACCTAATGAACAGTTAAATGTCCCCACTGTGCAATAAACATGTGCAATACACAACACTATTTATACTTTATATTTAAAGTATGCACATAACTCTTACTCACAATCCCTTGCATTTTTGTATAACACACCTGTACATATGTTGTCTGTTGTCTACTTTGTATATTGTATATTTTTTTAGAGCTGCTGCCGATATAATTTTCTATTCAACTAATTCGTCCATTTAAGCCATTAGTCAGCTAACTGCACATTTATATTACTTTACTTAAATATATACCATAATGAGCCTTTAATTTATAGCCTATTCCATGCTCAAGCACATAAAGCTTACTGGAAAGCACCCGTAATGACCATGAATGTGTCAAAAAAATATGAAGTAAATATTTTAATTATTAAACCAGTGTTTTCTGAGTCAGTGTCGGCTGCAAAGATGAAGCTGATCCACCTCCGTAGTACGGTGGACGCGCCTTTTTTTTTACAGAGAAATTCACCTTTCTGTCACCAGGAACAAATTCCTTATATGGTAAGCATTCTTAGCAATAAAGCTTATTCTGATTCTGATACTTTTCATTGAAGGCATCTGGCAACACAGCACACATACTAGGGCTGTCAAAATGACTGAAAAACTAAATTCGAATTTCAGTTAGGGGGAAAAAAGCTTTTAGCTTCTCTCCTGAGTTCACAAGAGGGCGCATTGAGCAAAATATTATGCACGTTTCTTCAAAGCGTAATAAAATAACACGACTATCTTTGAAAAAAAGTGCATAATGTTTCAAATAATGTTTATAAACCATATATAATTAATAAAGTTGCTTAAACAATTAGAAAAAGAAACAGCACCATGCATGCATGTATAGTTTAATACAAAAGGACCGAAAACCAATCACAAAGAGTAGGCTACTTTCTTAATTTAAAAACATGAGATACAGTGGGATGGGGAAAAACCACCATAACGTCTTTAGACATGTTTTTTAAAAAGTTGAACTTGCATTAATTTTACATGGCTTTCTAAACATGTCGCTCTCTGCAAGACGCGAGTGCAACGCTGACAGATGTCCCTCTAGAAAATGTGATAAATATTCTGTGTGAACAGCTTGGTTTCAGTTTTGACGTAAACAACATCTCCACACTGATGCTCTCGTTTTCCACAATATATGAATGAACAAAGTAGCAGCGCTGCATCTAGTGGTTTCAACTGGATAGGCTAACAAAAGCATTAAAATGCAATCAATGACATATACATCGTCATCGCATCTCGTGCGCCACTGATAAGGCTGCCTGACAGCTGACGCAGACCTTAAATTTGAATGCAATGTTTTTGCATTCGAATGTGGATTTTTTTTTTTCAATTCGAGGAATGTTCGAAATTCAAAATTTTTTTTTGACAGCCCTAATACATAGACAGAAATGAGGTGGACATAACTTGGATATCCCCAAAACAGATGTTCCTTTTAACTTTATCTCTATATACATTCTTAAACCACAAGATCAATCTTTTAGTCTATACTGTTTTCAATTGTTGCATGAATAAAGCTTTTGTAAATTTTTTTTTACAGCGCCTCCTATCCAATAATTGCAATAAGCTTTATGCTTTGTTAGTTTTGATAAGGAACTAATTCTCAGCTTTCGAATTCTTGTTATAATTCTAAATTATTTTTATTTTATCACACAAACATTAAATGCTGTTTTGGCGCTCTAAAGACGTGTGGAGTGACAGACTGCTGCATCTGCCTCTATATAGTTCAAGTGGCAGCTAGGAGTGCAATGAACCGATCATCTTTTCCCCTTTATAGCAGTTATAGCACAATATAAACATGAATGAACATCAGGTATATATGTTGATACTATGTTGAAAGATACAGTTTATACAATTTATTACCTCTCATGTAGGGAGGGGTGTGCGATATGGACAAAAAAAGATCTCTATTTTCTGGAATTTTATTGATAACGATAATTAGACGATATTTTGCTAAATGTGTTATTGTGCTGACATTTTAAGGACTACAGTGGACAGCTGCCTTCTAATGTATTTGATATTCTTCATATTCTGTGTGGTGGTCAGTTCACAGCAGTGATAGAAAGTAGCTAATCTTTTTCAATGAGTTTAAATTGATTTTTACCTTTTATGGGCATTTTTACCATTATAAAGCCATTTTTTCTAAAAGTGTGGATCATGTTTTGAGTCAAATTCTTACATTTAATCAGTCGGTTCGAATAAGACTTTTGGCCTTTTACCAGGCAAATGAAATCAGTATCAACAAAATGTATCTTTGCAATGCAGAGGAAACACAGAAGCTGCATCTGAAGTGGCATTTAGATGTATTTACACAGTTTAATGCAGCTCAGATGGACATGGAATGATTTAACCTGCTGTTACAAATGCATAAATAATGTTTTGCTATTTGAAATGATAAAAAAAAAATGAAAATATACTTTAAATGTGAAATTAAAACCGCCAATAGGTGGCAGCAAGTCAATGTTAATAAGCAAATAATTGCGATTGAACCAAATCATTTAAACGGTTGATTCATTCAGGAACTAAACACTTCATGTTGTTTAGAGATGCAAAACAGTGCTGTCTTTGAAAAAAAGTGCATAATGTTTCAAATAATGTTTATAAACCATATATAATTAATAAAGTTGCTTAAACAATTAGAAAAAGAAACAGCACCATGCATGCATGTATAGTTTAATACAAAAGGACCGAAAACCAATCACAAAGAGTAGGCTACTTTCTTAATTTAAAAACATGAGATACAGTGGGATGGGGAAAAACCACCATAACGTCTTTAGACATGTTTTTTAAAAAGTTGAACTTGCATTAATTTTACATGGCTTTCTAAACATGCCGCTCTCTGCAAGACGCGAGTGCAACGCTGACAGATGTCCCTCTAGAAAATGTGATAAATATTCTGTGTGAACAGCTTGGTTTCAGTTTTGACGTAAACAACATCTCCACACTGATGCTCTCGTTTTCCACAATATATGAATGAACAAAGTAGCAGCGCTGCATCTAGTGGTTTCAACTGGATAGGCTAACAAAAGCATTAAAATGCAATCAATGACATATACATCGTCATCGCATCTCGTGCGCCACTGATAAGGCTGCCTGACAGCTGACGCAGACCTTAAATTTGAATGCAAT